TCCTTCTCAGTCACGCGACGGTAAACAGAGGAGTCGCTGAGATGGAGTTAGGTTATGGCTCTATCAAGTGTTTGAGACATAACTACGAACTCACCACCTTTATCACTAACCGTTATTCGTAACGTTCCATTCGATCTTAACTCGCGCAATTCCTTTAATCCCTGCCTTTGCTTGTACGTTAAGTTTGTGTCCCGAAGCCTTCTATTCTGGTGAAGAACAGTCAGGAAACGATTGAAATAACGAAGATTTCAGTCACTGCATCTTCACTGCTGAGTCCACGATTCAGAGTTCGTTTGAATCAAGTTTATTAGCATTTTTTCTTGTTCATTGGCTGATTGATCTGTCCGACACTGTTTCGTGAAAAAGGGCGATTACTTTGCACGACTCTGCTCAAGAGCGAAGCATCCAGCGAAGCTTCATATTTGGGGAGGAATATTCATGAGAGGTGCAACTAGGATCGCTATTTTTCTGGGAGAAATGCACTTCAGTGGCTTGTTCTTGGAAGATGAGCTGTTAGAATAAATTAAATGTACTTCTGAAAAGATTGTGTATACGCGCTGTACAGCTTTAAGTATTCGTTGTTATCGTTATTTATTTATTTGTTATCGTTTATCGTTGTTACGACGGCCCTGCTCACAAGAGCGCTTATACAGCTGCAGCCTAGATTTACGGAACGCTAGGCTCCTCGCTTGGCTTCAAGAGTCTCCCGATTTGAACCCTATCGAACTCGTATGGGGTAACATGAAAAACTTTATCAGGTTATTAGGTTTCGCACGACTTATAGTAATTTTCAACACTTTGTAAGCTAACCAGATCTTTTGAGAAGGCGAAATGTTCGAACAATAGAAAAATTCAATAATGCAGTCTTATTGTTAGTCTATTGGAATCACATCTGCAGTGTCTACGAGATACATACAGTAGCGCTCAAAAGTCTTCGGTGAAATGCTTTGACGCTTTTTCCTTCATAACTTTTTTCCTAATAGACCAAATCGCGCGAAATTTGGATATGTTCAACTAGAGCATATTTCACCCTACCCAACACTATTTGACTGCGAGGCTGCAATATCCACAGATAGAGCAAGGTGTTTGTTGCGGTAGCAGATTTTGCTAAAACTAAAGTTGTTGACGTCTGCACTTATTCGCACCTTATATGCGTTTTTCTCAACTATTGCGTTCGGCATTACCGCTCGTGCACTTCAGACATGACAAGAAGAAAAGAGATTCGAGAAGGGCCATCATCTATATTTTCAGTCGATTTTNTAGAGCATATTTCACCCTACCCAACACTATTTGACTGCGAGGCTGCAATATCCACAGATAGAGCAAGGTGTTTGTTGCGGTAGCAGATTTTGCTAAAACTAAAGTTGTTGACGTCTGCACTTATTCGCACCTTATATGCGTTTTTCTCAACTATTGCGTTCGGCATTACCGCTCGTGCACTTCAGACATGACAAGAAGAAAAGAGATTCGAGAAGGGCCATCATCTATATTTTCAGTCGATTTTGAGTTCATGATCTTTTGAATATCTGGAACATGACCAGATTGCAAGTTAATAGTGGTAAATATTCACAGTACACCCACGCTCCACATATGGAAATTTCGCATGATTAGATCCAGTAGGAAAGGAGTTACGACTGAAAAGTGAAACTGAAGAACCATTTCACCGAAGACTTTTGAGCGCTACTGTATATACTAGGAATTAGGAAGAAGCTCTATCGTGTGGTCGAACAAGGAAAGAATGTTTATGAAGGGCGATAGGAGCAGCTGTACTGCTTGCTTTATCAGAGTGTATTGTATGTATTTAATTAGTTGAGCCATCCCTTCCTGTCTTATAATGAATATTGATGCCAGTCGTGAACTAATGTACATAAAGGAGAGACTGCATTCAAATATGTAGATGTTGTAAAAGAGTTTTACGACTGCGGTAGGAATCAATAATTAGGCTATTGCCGAAATGCGAAGAAACTCCTCTGGTTATTACTAAATGAGCCGCTGAGGTCAGCAAGTAATATTTGTGAACAGTTGCAGAGTTGTAACCAGCCTCAATGGTAAAAGCGGTGATTTTGTTAGAGAGTTTATCACACGATATATTCCCACAATCCACATTATCATTCCATTCAGACTAGTAGTAGCTACATATTTGGTTGGGTATGTGGCCTAACAATGACCGTCCACTAAGGATCAGCCAGTGTATTATGAAAGTTAGAGCTTTTATTCTCTCAGCTTCTATTCTTTATTCTCTTTTATTCTCTGGCACAAATTAGCCAACCTCAGAGTTATGGAAGTTTTGGATGACTTGGCCTTCAGCACGAGTTGCATACTAATACTCGTCCTCTCATTTCATTCGCAGTAAGGGTGGTCTTAAGCATTTTCAATCATTTCCCTATGGATATGCCGGAGTTAGCAATCGGATCACCTGATTTGAAACCAACTGATCGATCTTCGAGACTCTTCCACACAAAGACGGGAATTTTTCCAAGATTCTCGCCGAACCATAAGAAGAAATATTAAATTTGGGAGAATGGATCACCATTGCCGGTTATCAGGAACTACAGATTCTCCTCAATAACTGCCTGTCAAAACTAAACAAGAAAGGTTCCATTGGGCAAAGAGACTTTGACCACTGGAATGGTTCCGTGGGAGATACTGTCTCGAGGAATGGCGGGAATTCGTATTTCCTTGACGTCGAGTTGAAGCCGTACAGAATGGAAAATTAGCCAAGATCACTGGGGAATTCCTTCATCGAGGGAACCTTCTCAGGATCAGGAAAGTTCTCCAACCGGCCAGCGTTACTACGCGATCTATGTGGCGGCTAGAAGCATGAATCTTGTACCAAATGTCCCCGGCATTCGCCCAGAGACGCAGGTGAGTTAAGGAGATGGACTCGTTGACTCTACTGTGTTGGGTCGATTTTTACCTTCTGTCACTTCACAAATGCGTCCGTGCATGGGTACATTTAGGCAGAAACGAGCCAGTAGTTCATCAGAGTGCTGGAAGCCTGTGCACCAAATGGCTATTAAGTGGATAGGAACGAATCATTACAGAGTGTTTGAAACCGCAGGGGTTCTAGCTCGGTAGCTCAAAACAACTTGATATTGGAAAGCCCAAGTGTAACTATACAGTCGCAACGTTTACCGACCGTAATAAGCAGATGTCCTCTTTAGTGTAAACATTGGCTAGTTACCTACCAAATTTCTGCGGAGCCCTCCTCAGTAATGTGCTAACTTCACGAATCCTCGACGGATCGGTCAGTATTATGTCACTATTTTGAGGATAAATGGTTTCTGGTATCTGTTTCTGCACCAGTGATGAAGTAGGCTGAATATAGAAGTGAAGAAGATGTGCGAAAATGTGCGTAAATTTTGTTTGAAAAAATTACCTGAGCTACCGGCATTGACACTTTGAGCTGATCAACAACAGCTGCAGCTATCTGGAACATGTTTTCATTCACTATAGTTCTAGAAACATTAACAATTGTACTGCCAAAACTTGCAGTTAATCTTGTACGAATACATACATCACTTGCAGATGGGATCGGAGTAGTCGTAGTCGCTGGTTTCTTCGTTGAAAAACGTTCCTCTAGGTTTCTATTTCTGCAATAGCGTAGGATAATATTCACTAATTAGGAGAATAATCTCAATCGTCCATTTACGTTCAATAAATCGAAATGAAAAGTAGTACGCACGTTGACAATCCTGTTTCTGGGAGTTTTTTTTTTCTGATGGCAATCTTCCAACACCCTTTTAGTTGGTATGCTTTCGCTGTTATAACAGCTTTTTCAAAACTGTGATGCAAAGAAACAAATGCATACAAATAGTGGTCCACAATGCAAGCAAAATTTTAATAAAGTAAACGATCTAGGTCGACTCTAGCAGAAAACGTTCTATATGCAAATATGTATTTAGTCTAAAAATGCACTGCAACAACACGTGGAGGTTCGGTAATCAAACATTCAAAGTCAGTAAAATAAAGATAGGACAACTGGCATAAATTGAGCTAGTCAGTCTCGTCAAGAAGGGGTCGCATTGCTCCAATGAGCCTTTCCTGGTGTAAGTACTTTTTAGTTTGTATTACAGCTGTGAGGGAAATGTTATAGCAGCGAAAAATTTCCAATAAAAAGCGTTCTCGAGTAGTTTTCAACGAGAAAATCCACAGAGAGAAAATTACACGTGCCTCAAGAATGGGACTGTCATACCTAAATTCAAATATTACAACACTAAGTTGCGCGACGAAGATCCTTCTTATGCTTGATGTTACTGGGGACTCTGAAGGATGAAGATAGTTTTTGTGGAAGATTGTAGTTTCAGCACTTCAATCCACTGTTCAGGATCATTTGTTAAAAGAACTGTAGCATCCGTGTTGATGATGAACATAATACCTTGCAATGCGAAGAGAATTTGCGAGGGTAGCAATTTCCGTTGAACGGGCTCTGTTCCTTATAGATTAGGATAGTCAACTATGCACTTTTTCAAAACCATTCTCCTTACACATTTTGGTCTGCTTAGTGTGTCTATACCTTACGTTTGTGCTTTTTTCTATGCCTTACAACCCATCTGAGTACAATACGCGAGTTGCAAAACAATCTCGTGGATGCTTCCTTTTTACTCTTCCTCTCCAACTACCCCGAAAGAAATATGAGATTGAAGAACGTCAAAAATTTGGAACGTTAGAAGGGGAATTTCAACCGGGTGGTTTAAGAACTTTTGAGAAATGATAGGAAAGTGAAGGGGTAGGCCAGAATTAGAGAACAGTTTGGTAGGGTGGCACCGGAGCAACAGGACATTACGAGTGGAAACGGGAACAAAGAAAAGCAAATGACGTAAAGGTAACGGGCTTATGACAGTCTAGCCAAATGGTCAAACATGAAAATACAGCCGATGGTCTAGAAGCTGTGAAAACCTCGTTAGGTAGAGCTTGAGCCTGTTTTTTCGCTTATACTTCTGATAATATTTCATAAAATGCACCCTCTTATTAGTAATATCAAGTTATGATTGATGAGCACGGCAGGAAAAGGAAGCACTGAAAGATGTACTTATGTTTGCATGAAGGTAGGTTAAGAGCTCTTAAGGGTGAATGAGGGTGTGGTTCGATTCACGCGCCAATATAATTAGGTCATCGAACAAAACACGCTAAAACATCGTGCCTACCATCATAATGGAGGAAATAAGAACTTATAGGTAGAATAAGTAAAGAAATGACCACCTATGCACGTTTACAGAAGGATTGCATTCTCAAGGATCAAAAAATTTGAAGTTTTTCTTATTTTGAACGTTTGACAAGTAAATTGACGAACTATGGTGTGAATTCCTAATCACGNAGGGGCTTCATTGCCGTAGTAAAGATATTTCTCTAACTCATGGTGAAGCCGTGGACTACTGCAAATTTATTTGGTCCATCTCAACAGAAAAGTACTGAAACAATGCTGCGTGCGCGAAGAGCTCTAATGGGGTCACGCGTGAATCGCGCGCCCCCCGGGTGAATGACACCTTGGAAACAAAATGGGGAAATTAGTGTTGTACGGAAATGGGCCTTGTCTTCCGGAGTTATCTATTAACTTCTAAGGGCTTCTCATGGGGATATAAGCCGCATTCTGTGGACCTCGAATGGCGAAAATTGAGTGTTGGTACTGTACAGTCACTCACGAACGCTTAAGAGTTGAAACTTGATGCCAAGAAGGGAAGTGAACACACCTGACAAACTGATCGAAATCCTTGATAGGAACACCATCTAGATACATGACCTTTTCTGTAGTCGTTGTTGGCGTTGTGGCGCTGAACATAAAACTTACACATATTCCTTATTGCAGTTCTCGAATGATGAAGCACTTGAAAACGAGTGGGTTTCTTCTTCTATCTCTTGCCCTCTCTCTCACTTAGTCAGGCCACACTATCTATCTCATCCTGCCCTGGTGTTATAACGAAAAACAACGTTTCCGCGCTCAATGTACCAGACAAAAGAGCCGTTTCTACCTCATGAGCCACTCCCATCGCACAGGTAACGCCACTTGTATGAGAAAGAAAGTCAATCACTTGCTATAGTCTAGAACACGGCTGAGCCGGCGCATATTTTTTTGCAACTCTAAATTGTAATTCAAGTTATGAATCGCACTGATTCAATGAGGAAAATTGTGAACACTGCAAAACCGTGTGAGATCACTGTTCTACAGACAACAATCGCTCCTCCGAAGTACCTTAAGCACACATGGTGGTTCCTGGGCTCTGAAGGCGTTCTTTGAAATTTGTTCCTTCAGTTGGTTAACAAACTTTGATCCCGATAGTCTAAAGTTGTTACTGTATGGAACAAGTAGAGCCACATTCTGCATCAAACATTGCTATTGGTCACTGATGGACAGGGCTCATATATAAGGAATATCCTCTATATATATA